CTAGACACAAGGTTTAGACCATGGGTTATGAATGGCAACTTTGTTGCTTTCTTGATTGCAAGAACGTGGCGTTTTACATTGATGGATGTTGATATCGATGTGATGATGCCATGCCATACGTACGAAACAAACGCGACATGACTTTTAGATGATTCCAAAGTGATCAAGCCTTTTCGCCCAGGTGTATGTTGTTGGCGACGTCTCGCTCCCAACTCTCTCTTGTCCTTCTCTACTTCTCAAACAAACCACCCAGCAGCGACAGCCAACCCCCCAACCACAGCAGCAAACTGCGCATCTACTCAGGCAAATTAGTATTTAGTCCTCGACCATCAATCCTCTAAATCAACACCAACATACCTTTTGTAGGCGCCGCAGCACCCTCCGTCGGAGTCGCACTCGGACTCTCAGCCACTCTCTCAGAAATACTACTCGCAGCAGACGACAACGCCGAAGAAAAGGCCTCGGATGCAATTGACGACGCGACTGATTGAGCGGCTGAGGTAGCTTCTGCAGGTGCTTGGGTTGACGTGTTGAGTGTGTTTCCTGAAGCCGTTGTCTCGGCGTCGGAGATGGCTTGGTCTTGAGCGAGGGTGAGGGTGGTGGAGAGGGAGAGGAGGAGGCTGAGATGGATGGAGGAACGCATTGTGGACGGTGTTTTGGGCTGTGTTGGTGGGTAGGAGATTAGGTTGGACAGTCTAGGCTTAGAAATGTTTTTGTATGCGATGGATGTTGTGTGAGAAATTGGTGTAAGAAGCGAAGACCACTCAGCATAATCATATACTTGTACATGTACGCATCTTCTACGTCCATCCAACCCGATACTATTGCATCACTCATCCCATTCCATCCTATCCCGTCACCTCCAAGTAAAGTCCAAAAACCACGTCCATGACGCGCCTGTTCCTCCCACCAAACCACTCAAACAGCACAACCCATCTGCATGGCCTCAGCCTCTCGTCCCAAATCAGCAATAATAAAAGCCACAATCACCTTTCCAAGAGCACAATCGCTCTTGGACGACGATCTCATCGCCGCGGGATGTCACGGCAGTGGGTTGGGAGGGACCATAGAGGTACGAGTATAAAGGCACATGCGTTGATGTAGGGCTGTTCTGTGGTTCGGAGGTGTCTTTAGAGCTAAGGGCGCGTCGAGGAACGTGGATGGTGGCGCGGGTGTAGATCGGGATAGTGGTGCAAGTGATGACGTTCTAGGGGTCGGTCCGCGGAAGCTGGTGCACGTGGGAGGCTGGGAAGTTGCTTTTTATTACGGGCTGTGGGCTCGGGTTTTGAGAATCGGAAAGATGGGGTAAAGTCATGTTCATTTTTTTCTCGATGGATTTCTTGTAATGTGACATTCCTCTTCTGCTCTACGTATCTTGTAGAGTACGCTGTGGCGTTCTTGGTGCGGACAGTGCGACACCTGCAACACCCAATCCCCGTTATGGTTTTACATGAACGCGTTCAAGGCTGCACCTCCTACACCGAACAAAGCAGCATATTTTACTTCTACTATAAGTCAACATCCTGATCCATGATACTTCCTTCGCAATCCCTAAATCATGCCAAAGACGAGAAGCCAAGATCACGTACCGTGAGCATTCGCCGCACCCATGCTAGTCGCTTGAGCCGATGCGTCAGATGCCGAAGACGCAGATACAATGGTTGCAGCTGAAGAGTAGACGGTGGGATTGATGCCACCGAGGCTCGTGACACCTGGGGGGACTTCTTGCGCCGCGGCTAGAACGCTGAACCGCCCGTACCGCGCTGAGCTGTCAAGGGCTCCACATCACAACAGTGCAGCGCGACAACCCTCCGACGATGCCTGTTCAACGCACGGCCAGATGCAGGCGTGGGTCTCATATTGCCGCCTCAGGGTCGCTCTCAGGATAGCGTCTTTTACCGTACCTCTGTGAGTCATGTGCCATAACGCGTGATTCGTGGAACTGGTTGTGCCCTTGTATCCAATACCCACAAAACTCAACACCCCCACAACTCAACACTACAACATCGCTAGAAGAACATGTACAAAACGATGATCTCTTTTCAGAGAAGCTCGATGGACTCTTGGGTTATTCAGTCCCGAGATTCCATTATTACCTGAAAGCATGCTGGGAGTTCTGATTTCTACATTGTGGTGGATGGAGTGGGAAGCCCAAGAGATTCTGATGACGCTCGCCGCCTTTATCTAAGGATCGCCAGTAACCAATAGGCTTTTGATGATTATATGCGGCAATGGAAAGAAACGGAATAGCTTCTTTTTTGCTGTGGACCTTTAAGGAAAGATTGCAAAGGTGATTGAACACGACTATGCTGCTGACGTGGACGTAAGAAGTACCCCTGCTTTACAACAATGGCGCCTGGTTAAGAGGCGTATATGAAGGTATTTATTGTCTGTATTCGCACAAAGACAACGGCCTGAACTCTACTCCCTTCTCTACTCTTAAACGGATCGTCATGATGGAAGCGAAGCAAGACATTGACCTTGGTTAGCTCTACGTGTCGTATACTTTAGATGAAACTAATCTTCCATTAGGGTTGTTCAACTCCAAAGACCACAATGGTTTTGTCTGGCCAGTCAGATACAGTCACGACTACATGCCAACAAATGAAGCGTCCATGCCACCTTTTGTCGACCTGTCCTGCTTCCCTGATCTGAAGGCTGAGACTATCAGAGTTGAGCCAGTCATCAACGCAGTTCAGATTGAAACTGGATACTTGATCAAGGAGTGTGAAAGACTTCGCATGAACAGCATTCCTGTCTTTCCTGTACATGCAAAACTTCCATGGTATTCTTCGATTCACCATGTAAGACAGAACATACACTGGCCAATGGCTGTAGAAGCAACACGAGTGCTGCTACAGCATTTTGCTTCCGACCAAACTGCGACAAGTATATTGAAGAATGGAGGCAAATCGTACTCTGAGATAGCCGCTAAGGAGCTGCCGATGTTACATGATAACTGGACTCGGTTCTGTGCTTATCTGTGGCCGGCTGCAAGCGAGGAGCGACTGAAACTCATCGCTGAGACTATTGTCTACATCTTCCTCTTTGATGGTAAGCGGAATCTTACAAGAAATATTACTACTCTAATCACTTCTGGTACAGATGTATGGGAGATGAGTGACGAAAGTACAGTGAGTCGTTCCAAACTGTTGAGGCTCCACATATTTAACAGCTGAATGGCAGATCCAAACATTTCAGAACGAATTCGTATCACGACTAAAGGCTCAAATGCCTTACGGAGACGATGAATCAGTCTCGATCTTGCAGAAGGCCATGCATGCTACTATCCAAGGCCTTCATGATCAAGATGGCATCATCGGTGACGGAGGAGCCGAGGTAGTTGCAAGATTGATGGATTTCATCAATCACCCCCCGCCCCCCACCGAATTCCACAGTCTGAGAGAATTTCTGGACTATAGGATAATCGACGCAGCTGTCCCGTAAGTACGGATCAATAGTCTACACATCACGAAGGAAACTAATTATAAGTTCCAGTTACGTCATAGCGTGTACGAAGTTCTCTCTTTGTTCAACTGTCGACATTTCCAGCCCCAGAATTGCCAAATTTCTCAGGCTATTTGCGGACCATGTATCGATTTCAAATGACCTTGGTTCTTTCGATAAAGAGAAAAGAGCCTACGTAGAGAGAAAGGTGCACTACCTTGTGAACACAGTGGAAGAAGTTCGGAAGACTTATTCCCTTCCCAACGACGAAGCCGCGAAATTTGTCACGTTGGCTATCCAGGTGGAAGTGGAAAGAGAAATGGCAAGAGAACTTTCACAACTCAATGTCGACAGCAGCGTTCCTGAACCTGAGAAGGAATTCGCAAATGCGTTGGTATTCACAGTCAGTGGAAGTGTTTTGAGCTCAGTTGTCATGTCTCGATATGGTGGTAGATATATTGGCGGTTGAGGAGTTAACCGAACTTACACCTTCTTTATCTTAACTCGAAACTTATCGCCTTGAATATGAGTTTGTAAGATCTTGTCTTCCTCCTTACACAGCTCATGAAATGTACAGATGATATCATGAGCCGATTCCGTAGATGAATATTTGCTGCGAATGTTGAACCTCAATTCAAGAAGTTTTTTCACATCGACACCATCCTGTAATGGGCAATATGGATGTAGCATCCCTAAGCCATTCAAGCACAGCGCTGTGATGACAACTCGATACTCACTACGCTAAAGCGATGTCAAGATGTAAATGACGTGGTTAAGACGGAACTCGGGCCTTGGAATTAGACCCTTTTCAACACGGGTATACAGGCCTTTCAACTTGGTGCGAATAATATCACATTTCCGTTGTACGGGTGGAGCTGAACCATTGGTTGTAACTTGGACGCGATGCTGTGATATCACCTGTTTCTAAGAAGTGACACAAGCTGATTAGGAAGTTGAAGTAGTAAGTTCAATACTTAGGTTATCGGGCTGTCTTTCTCCACGCACCCAGACCTTTCATAGGGCATCGTCATCCTTCTCGTAACTCCACTAACCACCCATCCCTACACTTCGAGTCGATCATCTTCCCCATCCCCATCCCCAGCGCCCCCTAAGAGGATTCGTAATCCCACTTCCTTGCGCAGCCTTTGCCTGAACCTTGACTGGCTGTAGCTGCTGTGCTTGGGATGACTTCACTGCTGTATCCGCCTCGGATCCCTGTACAGCTGCAGCAGATGCAGGCGCTAAGCCAGTCTTCGTGGCACCCGATGCTTTGGTTGTTGGTGCGGGTAGTTGCTGTTGCTTCTGTTGGCTTCCGTTCCCGGGGCTAGCGCCCTTCTCTCGCCCGAAAAGTTCTGATATCCTTGACGTAGGACTGCGCCGTGGCTTTAGTGAGTCTCTACGAGTGAGCGCCGGGGGTTTGAGATCAGTCTGCTGCGTCGCTGGTGACAGACTTGCGTTGGCATTTGAAGGGGCTAGGGCAGCTGCTTTTCGCGGTGCTTTCTTGGGCAAAGCATACGGATCACTAGAGCTGGACTCATATATTCCGTATGAGGTCACTCGGCGTGGCATTGCTGGCTTGGCATCGCTTGGTTCTGCTCGTGGGCTTGCTTGGGCTTGTTGTTCTGAGACACGTTCCGCGCGCTGGGCTGTACCCAGTGAACCTTTCGATGGCTGTATCCTGGAAGGAGAATTTCCCCTGTTGAAGGTTGGAACTGGCGAGATTGTACCACGCGAACCTTGTGACGTCGGCGACATAGGTCCGTCTCCCCCTCTCCTTGTTGCTTCATATTCTGGTAACGCCGCTCGGGAGATTGGCGTACCTGTTCTAGTTGCAGTAGATGACCGTCGACCTGATTGTACCGCGACAGGCGAGGTCGCACCTCTGGACTCTTGCCGCGGGGTTGATCTTGAGCTGCCTCCCTTTGTTGGTGTGGTTTGAATGTCTGGCGAAGCTGCTGGGGAGACAGCTGTACCCCTTCTAGGGGCGATAGACCCTCGTCGGATACTTGCTTGTCCAGATATTGAGGGGATCGTCGCCGATCGCGTTGGTGCTCTGGAGACTGTTGGTACTTCTGTGAGGATTGGCATTGCTCTGCTTTCTCCGGCTGCTGACGACTTCCGTCGCGTGTTCGTCCTTGCGACTGACGAAGATGGTCTTCGTGTGGCGGTTGTTGAGACTTTTCGCGCAGACCGGGAGGCTGTTGCGGTATCAGGCGCTCGTTCTGTGGTTGTACGACGAGTCTTTGCTCGTGCGATTTGCGCTTCTTCTGGGTTTGTGCTTGAAAGCCTTCGATCACCTTCATCTCTGATAGTCGATCTTGGGATGGTCTTTGAGCGCGAGAGGTCGACCATGCTGTTGATCCAGGCATTGTCATCTTCGAAGGGCCCGCCTGAGCTATAAATACGACGGCGAGTGGGGATGTCTTGATCTTGGGCACTCTTTGCATCGGCAGGCGCAGGATCTTCTTCCATAGCCACTTCAGTCTGCCGCCTTTGTTCGTCGGCTCGCGCTGTTGGTTCTTGTTCTTGGTCTTGCGGTTGTCTTCTAGGCACTTGAGCACCAGGCAGTTCCGGAAACCTGCTCGGCGATTGCTCTGACTCTTCTTCGTCTGATGGGCCTTCTTTCTGGGGAACTGGAGAAAATGTCTGTCGTGTCTCAGGCGACTGAGCTCCTTCTTTGGGCGTTGCTCCTGGTTTCGCGATTGGGCTTCCCATGCCAGTCGGCCTGCGGACGTCTCTCCGGACGGGTTCCTGGAAGTCTTCTTCATGGGGGTCTTCATTCGCTCGAGAAGTCTCATCCTCAATCTCCAGGTTAGCTTGGAACGTGGGTGCTCTGGAACTGACTGCAGCATCTCTCTGGGTGTAGAGAGCTCCTTGAGATTGCGATTGGCGGCGAGAAGGGCCTGACGAGACGCGACGGGAATACTGCGCACGCGGTTCGTCCTGAGGCGGATTCTCGGGTATTGAGGCTGACTGTGGAATGGAGTAACTGGTTCTTCGAGATGGTGAAGGCTGGAACTGCGAATCGTCGTCAATGCGGTCTGGAAGGATCGGACTGACTGGGTAGTAGTCGCCCTTGTTAGCGAAGACGGAGGCTTGCCTTGGTCGAGTGTCGACCCTTCGGATAGGAGGGGCACTGGAGTCTCGACGATAGGTGGCCCGTCTGGTTTGGCTCGGATAGCTGTTTTGCCTTTTTTGCGTTCCCCCTGGGGCTTCTGGCGACCCAGGTGCCGCTTCCAGAAATGGCTGCACTTCTGATGGGTTTAGGGCAGGCTGGCTTGATTGACGGGACTTGATCGTCTCTAACTCAGGAGACTCTTTTTCTGGCTTGGCCCCGAAATTAAGCCATCCTCCTTTCTTGGGCGGAGTCTCGGCTTTCACCTTCGGTGATGGAGTCCGAGTGTCCGGCTTCGTCCATGAGGGAGTCTCCCGTATAGGATATGCAGGCGCTGGCGGATATTGCTGCTCAGGTGGGTAGTTCGCGCCTTGCTTCGGCTTCTTCGTCGGGCTTTTAGTTTGCGCTCCGACTTCTATGCCCTCAAGGATGGTCTGTGGAGGAGACGCTGTGATACCAGGGGCCGCACTGCTGCGTCGACGATCGGTTGTGCGAGGCTCTGTGGGCGCTACTCTCAATCTGCCCACTATCTGCGGTGCCTCATCGAGCACAGCTTCGGCGCTAGAGTGCACTGAAGGCTCTGATTCTCGGGCGGATAGCGTGAACCCTGGAGCAGCGCTGCTTCGTCTTCGATTCGATTCGAGAGGTATTGTTGATGCTGGTGGTGCATTGACTGAGATTCCAGGTGAAGCCTGTGTTCTCACCCTTTCGAGATGGACAGTCCTAGATCCTAGGCCTTCAGAGTCGGGATATACCGAAGGCTCCAGCGCTGGAGAGAATTGCATAGTAAGTGCTCTATCGAGTTGATCAGGAGCAGCATTACTTTGTTTGCGCTCCACATCGCGAGGTATTGTTACAAGCCGTCGCACGTTCGCTGGATACCCGGGTGAAGTCTGTGTGGCATGCCTCTCAACGGGGAGCATCGTGCCAACCGGGCTTCGAGCCGTGACATGTTCCAAGGGCTCTATTGCTCGAGAGACTTCAGTAGTTGGTGCTCTCTCGATTTGACTAATTGTGTCCTCAGTACTGCTGGAGTCAATCGGCGCGATAGCGTTGGGCTCAGGTTCTTCTCCAAGTGGCTCGTCAGCGATCCGTTGGTACACACGGAGAGCGAAAGAGCTCGGATTCGATAGAACACTAGTAGTCGGTGCTCTCTCGATTCGGGCAGTTGGTGCTCTCTCGATTCGACCAGTTGTTGCCCCAATGATGCTGACATTGGTCGACTCGATAGTGCTTTGGCTTTCACTCTCGCGATCTTCTTCAAGTGGTTCTTCGGCAATTCGTTGATACACGTCAAGTGCGAGTAATTCTGGATCGAACGTAACATTCGCAGTGGATGCTCTTTCGAACTGACCAGCTGCTTCTCCAGGGTGGGTGACACCAATTGACGTAGCACTTTGGCTCTCGGGCTCGAGCTCTTCTTCAGATGGCTCCTCGGCCATTCGCTGATACATGTGGAGCGCGAAGGGTTCCGAGTCAGCCTCGAAAGCGGTCGTGGGCGATCTCTCAACCTGATCAGTGTCCTCTTCGCGGCCAGGGACGTGGGTTGATTCGGGAACCTCCTGCCTCTCAGGTTCTGTTCGTTCATCAAGCGGCGCTTCAACATCTTGCTCGGGACTTCGGATAATCAGAGACCCAGTGAGGGTGCGAAGCGGAAGACGGGAAGACAAGGTTCTGCCAGCGATGGTGAGCTGCTCATTAGGCATCGTTTCCCTCCGAATGGTTCTTTGCCGTTCGAAAGAGCGCTGTGTAACCTCTGCATCTCCCGAAGGCTCGGATGCGGCATCATCATCTTCTTTTGACGGATCCACAGGGCTTTCACATATAGCAAGAATGCTCGCCATACGTGTAGGCCGAGATGAGATAGAACGCGACAAGATTGCCGGCTCAAGGACGTCATCTGTATCCGATGGAGGCTCAGATGAAGGCGCACGATAGATTTCGGCCTCACGGATAGTTACCTTACGCGTTGGCTGACGTGAAACCTGGCGAGATGACATGGGCTGCGCGGGCGTATCCTATTCAGCAGGCGACAGATCGCGAGGAATGACAAGCTCACTTGTCGGAGCAGTGCCTGTCCGACGAACTTCGAGCATAGGCTGACGCGTATCAGAGTATGCATATAGCTGATCAGGCAAGTCGTCTATGGCAAGAGACAAGACTGGAGAGGTTTCGAAGCTTGGAGATTCATTTGGCTGAGCAGCTGTCGGTACTGAGCTTCTTCGACGGACCTCCACCGTAGACTGGCGTGAATCAAGAGGCGAAAACGTCTGATCATATACGTCATCCGCAGCGAGAGACAGGACGGGAGAAGTTTCGGGTCCTGGGGAGTCGTTCAGCTGCACAACTGTTGGTATCGTGCTTGTCTGACGGGGCCTCTGTGTAGGCTGCCGCGATGCCACACGGATGATAGATGGCATCCTAGATAAGACCTCTGCCGCAGGTGAAGGGGTGCGTATAGCCGAAGGTTGCCGTTGAATCGCCGGTGTCACTGTGCTTGTACGTTCAACCCTTTGCGTAGGCTGACGTGATGCTGCACGTAGGAGAACTGGCTGCCTAATCGATTCGTCTGCAACAGGTGATGACGTTGGTTCAATGGAGTCCAGTCGCCGGGCAGTCGGTGATATCGTATTCGCTCTATGGACGGGTAGCGTAGGCTGACGAGAAGCTACACGCAAGAGAGGTGGCTGCTCAAGCGAGGACTCTACCACAGGCAACACTGTGGCTGAACTTGAACCTTGCCATTGTACAGTCGGTGACGTCGTATTTGTTCTATGGACGGGTAGCGCAGGCTGACGAGAAGCCACACGCAAGAGAGCGGGTTGCTCAAGCGAGGTCTCTGCTACAGGCAACGTGGTGGCTAACATCGACTCTTGCCGTTGAATAGTCGGTGACATCGTACTTGTTCGGCGAGTCCTTAGCGTACCCTGCCGAGATGCTGCACGTGAGAACACGGGCTGTTCTTCTAGATCATCCATAGCAGGCGGTGAGGTGGGCCTGACAGAGTTTTGCCGCTGTACGCTACCTGTTGCAGTACTCGTTCGACGCATTCCTAGCGTACCCTGTCGTGTAGGCGCGCGTGAGGTCAGTGGTTCTGCTTCCAAGTCATACGGAGAGGATGGAGAAGCGGCCTTAATAGAGTCGTGGCGCTGAACGCTACCTGTTGCCGTGCTTGTTCGACGCATCCCTAACGTGTCCTGTTGTGTAGACGCTCGCGAGATGAGTGGCTCTGCTTCCAAGTCATACGGACCAGATGGAGAAGCGGGCCTGAAGGAGTCTTGCCGCTTGTTATTGGCATTTGCACCGCTTGTACGGCGAGTCTCCAGTGTAGGCTGGCGGAAGGTTGCACGCGAAGCCACGGGCTGTGCTTCTAGATCATCTGCGCTAGCTTGGGAAGTGGGTCTAACAGAGTCTTGTCGCTGGACCCTGGCTGTTGCTGTACTGGTACGGCGACTTGCAAGCGTTGGCTGGCGTGAGGCTAGACTCAAGAGGATGGGTTGTTCAGCGGCGTTATCAGCGACAGATAGTGGGCTTGAAGGACCTTGTCGTAACCGAGATGGGGACATGGTAGCTGTCCGGCGAGTGTCAAGTGCAGGAGAGAACGAAGCCGTGCGTGATAAGGCGGCAGACTCGGGTGAACCTTCCGCCATGGAAGAATAACTGGAAGGTATCGAGACAGCTATTGAGCCAGGCATGAACGATTCTTGTCGATTTTCAACGGGTGACATAGTACTTGTCTGGCGAATTCGCTGCACAGGAGCCTGGAACTCGGGTTCTTCTTCAATGACCGGTGATACCGTGTAGTGGTCGCTGTAAGTATCAGAGGTGGCTTCGCCGTATCCTTGGTTCATTTGACTCCGAAGTTGCACCTCGTTCTGAGGATCGTCCATCGTGTCATACTGCGGGTTATCCTGCGCTTCATATGCCAGCTCAACATGCTGATCGGGCTCCACAATGTCACTGGTCTCATCAGTGGGCGCATGTTCAGCAGCTGGCAATGTCTGCAAGACGGCGGTGATCGAAGCAACAGCAGCCGGAAGCTCGTCTCTCGCCACTCGAAGCACCTCCTAGATCTCTTCAGGCGAAACGTCTTCAGCCTTGTATGGCTCTTGACCAGCAGATGGAGGCTCTTTCGGTTGGCTCAGGATCCGAGTGAGTGCGCGACTGAGCCGAAGCTCGTCGACACTGTTATCGACAACGCTTTCAATTTCATCTTCGACGGTGTTGGCGGTCTTGGAACTAGGCCAGGTTGGCCTGCTTGAAATGCCAGTGGATGCTTTACTGAGAACACGCTGCACCATTGCGGTTCCCAGATCGTCCTCCTGGTGATCCGAAACGTCAGCCCCGAGGTCTTCGATGTCGACAGTCTTGTTGCCCTGCCATGTAGATGCGCGTGAGAAGCCAGAGGGCACCTTGCTGAGAACGCTTTGCACAATCTTGGCAACCAGATCATCCTCATGGAGACCCGGAACGTCAGCTCCGGGCTCTTCATCGTCGATGGGTCTGTTACCGTGCCACGTAGACGCGCGCGAGAGGCCACTGTTGATGTTTTCGAGCGTAGACTGCGTAGGCTCGCCGAACGACTCGTTTTCATCGTCGTGCTGACCAGTCTGAGTAGTATCGAATTCAGTAGACGAATCCTCCTGCTATTCGGATTCGCGCGAGACGCTGGTAGGAGCCTTGCTGAGTACGCGCTCCACACTTTCAACAACGGATTCGTCTGCCGGTGCATCATCATCCTTTTGCCATGTAGAATTGCGCGAGAGACCAGTGAGGGCCTTGCTGAGTACACGTTGTATGGGCTCGACGAAGGAATCGTCTGCTGGATCGTCCCCCATGCTATGCCAAGCAGTATTGCGCAGGAGACCAGTAAGAGGCTTGCTGAGTACACGTCGCGTTGCGTCGACAGAAGCGTCCCTGATCCATGTAGAGGCCTGCAAAATACCAGGAGGAGACATGCTGAGTACACGCTGCACTGGCTCGACTTCGGAGTCTTCGATGGCCTCCCCGTCTTCTACATGCCATGTAGAGCTGCGTGAGAGACTGGTAGGAATCTTGCTGAGCACACGTTGCACGCGTTGCACCGAGTCGACGATGGCATCTGCTTGCGATGTAGACGTGCGCGAGAAGTCTGCAGAGGTTGGGCTCAGTACATGCTGCACAAGTTCGACACTGCGATTATCGACTGCTTCTTTCTCTTCCTCATTTCCGTCATCTTCTCCATGCCGTGTAGTGCTGCGTGAGAGGCCGGTAGGAATCTTGCTGAGCACACGTTGCACACGTTGTACCGAGTCGATCATAGCATCTTTCTGCAAAGTAGACGTGCGTGAGAGAACGGTAGGAGTTTTGCTTGATCTACGCTGTGTCGGGTTGAGATCGGGATCATCAGCCTCTTCTCCCTGACTCTGCTCATGCCATGTGGAGCTGCGTGAGATGCCAGTAGGCGCTTTGCTGAGCATACGCTGTACTGAGTCGACAAGAGCGTCTCTCTGCAATGTGGATGTACGCGAGAGACCTGTGGGAGCTTTGCTGAGTACACGGTGTGCATGTGGTGCATCCGAATCAGTCACCGACTCAACCTCTGGTTGGTCTCGAAATTTGACGTCGAGATTTCCAGCGATAGAATCCAGTTCGTCCATAAGCTGCTCCCGGGCCTCGGAAAGTTCGGTCAAGTGTCTACGCGTTTGCTGTAGCCAGCTGTCCTCGGTAAGCGGCTCGTCCTCCGTAGCCCTGTTTTCTGCTGTTCCAAAGGAGACATCCGTGTGACGTGAGACAGAATCCATGGGTGTGGTCTCGTAAGGGGCGTTGTGGAACATGTCATCGTCGGTCGCGGTGGGCCTTCGGTCAAGATCGAAGCCGAGATCGTCGGCTGCAGATTTGACAAGATCGACCAGGTCGGGCATTGACTGCACCTCTTCACGCAGGCTCGATTTAGGATCGTTAAGGTTCGGCTTGACTTGCCCTGTAGCCCCAACATTGAGTTTCTCTGCCGCTTTGGGTGGGAGATATGGGCATGGTGGATGCCAATCATCGTCTCGTCGACAGGATCCTTGTGCTGGACGGCAGGATGTCCGGCAGCGATCGCTGTTACATCCGTTGGTATTGCATCGCTGAACAAGGTCTTCAGACACCCTTCGAAGCTGGTCGAGACTGGGTTGAGTGTTCTTGATGTTGCTGATGACATTCTGAAGTGTGTTTGCATGCTCTTCTAGGATATTGTCGATGATGTGACCCAACTCCTCAGCAAATTTATCTCCACATCTGTCATGCGACATGCTTTCAGAATGACACCGACGACGTCTCTGCCGGCGACAACAGTCATCTGTGGAGATTTTCGATGAAGGGGTGGAGGTCAGTGATTCTGATGAAGCTCGTCTGCGTGTCCGCCGCTTCGTAGACAGTAGCTCTTCAAGCACTGGTACTCGGGTCGAACATTGCCGGCATATCTTCTCGTGTGCATACTCGCGGTGCTCGTGTTTGCCCATGTACGAGAAGTGTCCACACGCTCGCTTGGTCCAATTGCCAGGGTCTCGCAATGGTCGGCTTGTCTTGTTGATGCCATGCGACTTGATCCGTGCGCCTGGGAAGCCAAAATCTTGTGTGACGCGACGTCCGTACCCTTGGCGATTGTCGACATCGTCTGGCACTTTGGCCTCGCCATACTGGTCTTCGACACCGATGTTGGCAGTTGGAACCGAACCTGAGATATAGCTTTGTCGAGAGACACTCATGTCGCTTGCGCCGTCGTGGCCAAGATTCCTTGCCACGATCTCCTCGGCTCTTCTACGCACACCAATAGACTTCCCAAACTGATTGTGAGGATTTCCATCATCTGTACTCCGGGTCCACTCCGCGACACGATCGACGGGCTCCTTTGGTAGACTGCCACTCTCAGTCAAAGAAGCAGTGTGTGATCCACTGCGCCTGAGCCGTTTGGGGGAAGCCTCGTTGTCTTCCTCGAAAGTTCTTCGAAGATCGCGACCAGACTTCGCACGTCTACCTTCTTGTTGCGACGGAGGGTTCGAATTGCTGGCTTGCCTGGTCTCAGCAGCTGGTATTGAACTGCGGGTATCGAAACTCCTCACAATCTCATCAGAGGGGCCTCTGTAATCAACTGGGTCGGCTCCGCCAGTGTCAGGAAGCGCCGCCTTGGAGATATTATCGCTCGCAAAGCTGTCCTGTCCAGCCTGTTGACCGAGAGTTGGAGGCTTTGCAGCGCCGGACCTGCCTGCAAAGATGTTGGTAGACTTCCGACGACTAATGGGTTCTCGCTCTGTGTCGGAAAAGTACTGCTCCTCTCCCTGATCAGATGGTACGGCCGGGGGCGTTGCTTTCTGTGTCGTGATGATGGGAGCACACTCATCGGCCTCGCCTTGTTTGTAGGGGATCACTGACTGTACAGACTCGCGAGTATCGTAAAACTCCGTGAGAGAAGACAACAGCAGACCAGTATCGGGGGCTTGCTCGTTAGGAGTAGAAGACAACTTCGGGTTTGGAGCACGGGCAGGAGATTCGCGAGAGCAACTAGAGGCGTAGGTTTGGGGTGCGGGCGCCCTCGCGGTACTGGCTCCAGGGACTGAAGGTGGGGGACGAGATGCTGACGGACGTTGAAAGGCTTCCGTCTCGAAGAAGTCCTTGGCAGAGCGAACCGACTTGGGAACCTGTGGCTGTCTTGATGGCGGGGATGTTGTCCGGGTGTCGCGTCGACCCGGCTCTTGGGCCAGAGATTGTTGTTTGGAGTCTGCGACACCCACCGCAGGTGGCCGTGAACCGGTATTGGAGCCAGCTTGGGAAGGCGGTCCAGTTGCTGTCGTCACTGCCTCGGGCTCCCGGTAGGGATGCTGGATCTTGTCCAAGACTCGGCCATATGGATTCCTCCCTTGCAAATAGGCAGGCGACTTGCGTCCGGAAGGAGGCGGTTGAGGTTCGCTAGATGCTTGTGGAAGGGGCAAAGCTGAGGGGCTGCTAGATTTGCGTCTGGATGTCGTCGAGTATTGTTGCTTCGCCTCTCCGGCGCCCGGTATCGTGGCAGGAGCTTCGAATCGACCCTGTCTAGTTCTTATGTTTGATGGTTGATTGCTCTGCTCGCGTAGTCCCGCATTGGTAGCTCGGGACGCAGAACTTGACGTGGGTTGGTCGAAGCCTTGGGGCATGAGACGCTAAGCTATTGGATAATGTGTTGCAGACGTGAGAAGGGTGATGCTGTAGATGTGTGTTGACTGTTGATTGTGTGTAAGGAAAGTTAAGATCGCTATGGTGAAGTAAGACAAGCTGTAATGAAGTAAGACAGAGTAAGACTGGGTGCTAAAGAAGTAAGACAAACTGATAGAAGAATAACAATAAGACTGGTGTAGCTTGTAGGGTTGCTGGTGGGTTCAGGTACCGTCGGTCCAGGTTGCAGAGGAATGTGGTCAAGAAGAGCGAGACTGCAGGATGTTTGGAATGTTTTGGTCACCTCAGGGAGCTCCTTCTATTCTTTGACCACGGAAAGCACGCATGCTCTGTACTTGCTACTATACATACCGCGCATGCCGTACTCAAGGAACGCTATTTACACAGTTACTTCAATGCAGCCTGCAGGCTCTCGAGAACCTGGGTCTTGTCAGCGCTTCTTGCTAAGATGTGTTTATGGTGCGTACCTCGAGCTCGATCTTGGCCTCAGCAATGTCAGCCTCACTGCCGTTTCCGCTGGCAATCTTCTGTGCCTCGCCGATCTGGTTCCTGACAGCCTATCTCCTTGTCAGTCGTTATCTCCCATCTCCGTGCATCCGCTCATACCTCGGCGCTGAAGTCCTCCAATGGGTATCCCTCGACGGCGTTGATGCTGAGGACGGAGTTGGGCTGCACAACAGCAAATCCACCAGACAGGAAGAATTGCTTGCTGCCACCCTGCTCCTCGATGATCTCGACTAGGCCGGGCTTCAGCTGCTCGATGGAGGCAACGTGGTTGGCCAGAACACCCATGTCACCGGTCTCCGCGGGGAGGTTGACCTGGACGCTGTAAAACATCTCATGTCAGTATTCGCGATTTCGCTTTGCGGGATCGGCCGGGGTCTCGAGCGACGTACACATCCTGGGACTTGTAGATAGACTGTTGACCACCAGTTAGCGTCTCAATTCAGATGCCAATTGCAACCTGGGGTATGCCCCCGCATGTTGCGACGGCTGGAATGGCGTACCTGATGCGGGAGAGCTAGGGAGAGCTTGATCTTGTCATTGGCGACTTCGGCGTACCCTCTGCGCTGGATGGGGCGGGCAATGGCAGCGGGCCTCGCGCGGAGGGCAGCTCGGGCGATGCGGAGAGAGCTCATGATGGACGGGGTGGTGGGGAAGAGGTGGTCGGAGAATGTTCAATGTCGGTGTTCTGCGAGTTCTGCGCTCCCTCAGGTCACGGGGTTAGCCGACGCTAGCGCATCAGCAACATCTTGACCATCTGAACTGGGTATCACAACCTTGGAACACTTCATAAGAGCGCTTACTTTCTTCGCTTTATTACAATTTCAAGGCTACGTACTATCTATTTTAGCTTGTTACAGTGGAACAAAGCACATGTCATTCGCGTCAACCCAAAGTGCTGATTCCAACTGCTGTGGGGGACCTTCTTCATGCACCAGGCGTCCGAGGTTGACTGAAGATTCACATCTTATTGCATTCCTTGAGATTACGTGGGTGTAATATGGTGTCTGTATTGAACTACTCCGGGGTATCTTATTGCCAAAACGCCTGTTCCAAGATTGGGGACTCATGCGGCCCATTCCATTACCGATGGGCCAACTGATGCTTTCTCTGCCCAAATGTAGCAAAACATCAATCATCGTATAACTGCTGCGGTGCGGCCATGCTCATCCGCAACTGCCGCTCCCTCTGCTTCGCCTGCAACTCTAGCGTCTCTACGGCATAGCTTAGCCTATCCTTTTTCGCTTTCAAAGTCTTCATTCTCATTTCCTGTTGCGCGCTGATGGTCTTGCCTCCGCTTCGCTGTGTGGTCCTGCTTGCTGGTCTGGAGCCTGAGCTACCATTGTTGTCGCGTCCGAGTCTGCCGTCGTTCAGATCGCATTTCGCTATTAAGGATTGCTCGCGACGCTCCAGCTTGTCGAGGTAGTTTTCTACGCGCTTAAGAAGGTTATCGACCTCGGGACGGATTTCTGAGAGGAGTGCTGATTGCGCGGTTTGGAGGTCGGATTCAGAGATGAGCTCGAAGTGCTGTTCCAGGGTCAACACGATGAAGGTGAATCATGTTCTTAACGTGTACACACCCGTGTCGTCTGCAGTACTTTGGCCAGTCGGGGAAAGTCGCTCACGCCTTGGTCCAGTATGTTGATAGATGAATCGAGTAATTGCATGCTACTGCGCAGTGAGCCTACGCATCCTTCCAGCGCCATGATTGTAAATGATTCGGCAATCGCAAGTGTGGTCTGGACGCGAGCGAAGTGGGATGTTGCTCCCTCTTAGTACGATGGCACGAGTGATCCGTGCGCGGACGCCAAGCATCTCCAGGGCTGTTCTTCGAGCGGAGCTCACCCCATCACCGCATCCCTCGCCGCAACCGTCAAATCAGTCCATTGCCCCTCCAACACACGTCACAATGCCTCTTCTCGGAAGGAAGTTCCCGGCGCAAATCGGTACGGCACCCTGCACGCGCAGATAGTGGAAAGTCGAGCTTGAAAAGATTGCTAACGAGGTACTACAGCCAAGCCCATGTGGCCTTTCTACGTCTCCGGTACGTTGCGCGACTTAGATTAGAGCAGAGAATACTTGGAGGAGCCCAATTGATGGACCGGAAGGAGATGGAATTGCTTGGGAGCCGAGGGCTCGCAGTGTGAGACAGGATTAACAAGAGTCAATAGGCCTCGTCATCCTCTACGGTGTCAACTCTGCCGCCAACGCCATGGCCCAGTGTACGTAATCCCCATCCCAGAGACGAAGCCATCCAGCTCGATTCATGTTCGCAGGCTGACCAGCACAGCCGATGAGTACAAGAACGACCCGCGCAACCCAGCCCTCAAGAACCAGGCGCCGAACCACTAAGCCGGATACTTCGCGATACGGGGAGCGGTCTTTGAGCATACGAGTGCAATCAGAGGCAGTGTATAATAGCCGCGGAGGAGGAGGATCATTCAAGGTCTCCGACTGAGATGGCTGTATAGACTTGGCAAAATCAACCCATCACGAACATATCATCTCTCTTGTTCTGCGGCTCTGGTCATGCGAGTGCGTGTCAACTGAATTGCAGGCAAATTTCCACGCAGAGATCGCTACCACGTTGCCAGGGAGCGTACTTCGGCTCAACCCCAGAGGATCAGAGATATGGTGGGGTTTAAGCCCATCTACCAGGCGGTTTCCGTATGCAAATCACCTGCTGGTAGACTATGTTTGACCTACAGACTGTTCCGAATTCCCTTCGAACCTGTTTGTCACTACATGTTGATAGTGTACGCTGTCAAGATGGTATTCGGATGTTTCCGGTATCGAATGTTTCTGACATAGCTGAGCAGCTCTACAAAGGAGATTGCATAACTGTCCTCGCTATGAGAGGCGTAATGTGATGCTGTATCAGACCATGGGCACATGCTACGCGGTGCTTCATACAGTAAGTATAGCGGGTTCGGTTAGCAGGCATAACTATATAGTCCGAAGAGTTCTGCAGACGTGATGTCGCAGCGAGAGAGTCGGGAGATGGTGTTGGGACCACCTTATACAAGGGAAAAACTAAACACCTAGGAGCCTACGTCGCCGTTAGGCCACTAACTTCGCAAGCTTTTATCTTAATGTAGGCTCTTGGGTGTTCGGTTCTTCCCTTGAATGGGGTGGGACTGATGCTTTCCTTTGTTCCAAATGAAAAAGCATCTCGCCGAGCGCTATTGTGTTGTTGAAAGGGCTTGTACGGATATACGGGACACTCTTCATGGGGTGGTTCCTGGCTTTGAACGATGAAACTGTTATACGCAAGTGGTGTTTGCCTAGTCTGAATTATGATGTGTTTGCCGTACCCGACCTTCGTCACGAGACAGTTTCGGGCCGCAGTCTTTCCAGAACATCGGCTACGACGAAATTTCATTCTAGCAGCGGGACGGCGTCTGCAGGACGTTCTTGGTCAAAGTCAAATATAGCGCAATCGGTTCGTGAACCGCGCGAGATGCATAAAGGGGCAGATCTGTGGCTCAGTCGCATGATGCGGCAGTCAGGCGACGGCATTTGAAACGGGCAGTGGCATTTCGACAGTGACACCCTGGACATGTGCGGACACGCGCAACGCAAACGGCGGTGCGATGGGTCGCGATGCCTCCGAGCGGCTCAGGGATGTGATTTGCGGTCCGCAGGCTTGATACACGGCGGCGGGCAGCGGGCAGCAGTCCACGGTGAAAGAGCTCGCTAGCGCGCCAAGCACGGTGGCCGAATACAAGGCAGGTTGGCTCTCTGCATCTTGCCATCAGCGTTCCTTTGATACAGCACCACGATCACAGTGTGCTTGTTCCACCGGCCTCTTGTGCTGTCCCGTGCCCTGCAGCTGCCTCTCTGTGTCGTTTTTGCTAGAGTCGCAAACCTCGCCCGTCCGCCAGCCCGCACCTTCGCTCGCCGGCATCGTTGATCGTTGGGCTCATTCACGCCCTACAGTAAGTCCTGCCCAGCTCGTCAGTCGGCTCCGCCCTCTGCCCCCCGTGCCCTATTTATCTCTCACCACGACGCACCTGCTCCGCTGGCATTTCCTTTACCTGTCGGTCAACACGCTCGACTGCCTCCCTTAGCGTTTCTCGGCTGCCCGCTCCGCTTACTCACCGCCTTGTTGGCTAAAGCCTCATACTGACCGGTCCACCGCAGCAGGCTGATCCTCAAAACACCACCGCGCCCCCATCGTCACAACACTCGACCCACCCCCCTCAACACCTCCCTCCACCACAGGCCAACCTCCTCAAGGTTGCACCTCTGCCAGCATGACGACAATGGTACGCCCCGACCCCGCTTGCCGTCACCACGGCGGCCAAGCACCTCTCCGCAGGACCCCAGGCTGACAGTAGCAGGACCTCCGCGTCGGCAACAAATACAGAATCGGCCGCAAGATTGGTAGCGGCAGTTTCGGTGACATCTACCTCGGTACGTAGCCGCCGCCGCCCATTGCCCACCACTCCCAGCACCGCTGACGTCTACAGGTACCAACATCATCTCGGGTGAGGAGATCGCCATCAAGCTCGAGAGCGTCAAGGCGAAGCACCCCCAGCTCGAATATGAGGCCCGCGTCTACAAGTCGCTCGCTGGCGGTGTCGGCATCCCCTTTGTCCGCTGGTTCGGAACCGAGTGCGACTACAACGCCATGGTCTTGGACCTGCTCGGCCCTTCCCTAGAGGACCTTTTCAACTTCTGCAACCGCAAGTTCTCCTTGAAGACCGTCCTGCTCCTCGCCGATCAGCTCATCTCCCGCATTGAGTACATCCACGCAAAGTCCTTCATCCACCGCGACATCAAGCCCGACAACTTCCTTATGGGCATTGGCAAGCGCGGCAACCAGGTCAATGTCATCGACTTTGGTCTGGCCAAGAAGTACCGCGATCCCAAGACGCACTTCCACATCCCGTACAGAGAGAACAAGAACTTGACTGGTACCGCCCGTTACGCCTCCATCAACACTCACTTGGGTGTCGGTACGTATCCCGCACACCATCCAACTTGCTAAACTAACATCAACAGAACAATCCCGCCGTGATGACATGGAGTCACTGGGCTATGTCATGCTTTACTTCTGCCGTGGATCCCTTCCCTGGCAGGGTCTTAAGGCGGCCACCAAGAAGCAGAAATACGACCGCATTATGGAGAAGAAGATGACGACTCCCACCGAGGTCCTCTGCCGTGGCTTCCCCAACGAGTTCGCCATCTACCTCAACTACACCCGTTCCCTCCGCTTCGATGACAAGCCCGACTACTCGTACCTCCGCAAGATTTTCCGCGACCTCTTCGTCCGTGAAGGCTTCCAGTACGACTACGTGTTCGACTGGACCGTCTACAAGTACCAGAAGAACGCCCAAGCCATCGCCCAGGCTGCCAACCAGGGCCAGGGCGAGGAAGACGACAAGGGCCGCGGACGCCACGTCACCACCACCGCCGCTGCCAACGCGGGCACGGCAGCTGGCACCAAGCGCGGTCCGGTCAACGCGCGCCAGGAGGGCACCGGAATGTGAGTTCGATATATCTGATCCTCGTAAGGGACCCTCTCCTTTGCGTTTGGTGTTGAGAACGCTTAGCGCGGGGGGCGCCAGATCCAGATTTTACTAACCTTCTTCCTTCTTTCAGGCAGCTTCGTTCGGCCAATAAGCGTGGCGGGGACCAGTATGCATCTGGTTACTGATTTGATGCGGCTTTCGATTCGTCATCTCAACTCTTGCGTGACCGCTTCTTCTGACGCGGCTCCGCGCACACAACGAATGGGAAATGCGGCATTGCCGTCCTGGCAACATATTGGACGGCGTCGCTCCTTGATCAGTTCATGGGATCCATTCGTCAGACACCTCGTACGGACCTAGGAAGACATTCCACTGTCTTGCGTTTACCATGGCCATGCGTCTCTGACGACTATCTCACATCTCTGGAAGCTCGACCCACACGGTATCTCCATTTGGCATCACAGTTCGGCTTGTAAACACATCTCAACTCATTCCGGATTACAGCCAACCGATTAGCTTGGTCGTCTTGCACAGCTAGTGTTACTGGGCAGCTCTCCAGCTGATGACTGATCTTTGTTTGACTTTACGGCTTTCACCTCGCATTAATTATCCCCTGCCCCCTTGTCCTTTCATGTGGTTCTTAGTACTTTCCTTGAGTTTCCCCCCTTCGGACATGTCTGCCAGCTTGTGGGGAGGTAAAGCTTAACAAGGGGACGATTTCAAATTGTATCTGGCGGAGAGTGTATGTGACTGAAGCTTGGCTGGTAGACTCGAAGGGTTGCAATGGAATGGGCGGCTAGTAGTCCGCGTGATTGACGGATCTCTATCAAGGAGGCTGCTTCCAGGGACGAGAAAGGAATATCTAGCTCGCCACGACCATTGCGCTTGGAAATGGGGAAAGGGGACGAGTGGTGCGAGTGATGGTGCTTTTAGTTTTGTTTGCTTTGGAATTATATGCTTTTCTCTCACCGCTAGCCCAAATGATTTGCGTGATGCCTGTGACTAGTATACCGCTTGTAATTGAACTTGCTTGATGGACCAGTCGAGGACTACAGGCGCATGTTCAATCTAGACTTCGAGTCATCGCGAGGATGGGATGCTGGTTTCTTCTATGTCTATCCGAGTTGGCTAGTGCAGCAACAACGCAGAGCGAAGAGCGATATCCTCAAATTCCGAGGGCTACGGGGTGCCTAGTACCATTGCATCCGCCTTTCCAAGCCATCAGGACTTTGCACGTAGAACTTGAATAGGTGGATTTGGGGCTGTGACGAAGGTTTCGAATCACATACTTTGCAATGGAGACACAAGAACGCTAGGAATTCTAGAGAGGATTTTCATAAAACCATGGGTCATAGTCTTTCCACCTACAGGTGTTGTGCGATATCTCTACCGTGTCCTAACAGATTGGGGGAAGAGTAGAATAGGAGGTGAACTAACAACAGTTGTCCGATGTGTCTAGTATTGCGACTTTGACTTATTTGATCCATCACGCTATGGTAGTTGGGGATGTGATATGCGTAGGTTGTGATGTCCTAAATTTGTTGATGGAAGAGTGAACAGACATGGTCGCATTGCCTTTTGATGTAATGCATGGTCTGCGAAGTGTTTTTTGATAGTGACTTTGCCTGCTTCATATATAGCACATGTACTATGCGGCAAGTACAACGTACTGTCCTGAATTTGTATCGCGCCTCTCTGAAAGAGTGCAAACGGCCAGGTCGTAGTTTCAGTTGAGTTCGTTAACGCTTCTGTGCCATGTATACGGTGTTGCGGGTGTGTAGCCCGTGATGACGTGCCTCGTAAACCTGCCGAGGTAAAACGCGACATCGTTCTTCACAGTACATATTGTCAGCAACCCATGCACCGGTATGCGACAACACCACCTTGCTGCATCACCTCTCATCACGCGATCAGCATCACAGCTTAACATTCAATCGCGGTGTTCTTCAGATCGCGTTTATATGGTCTGACTCGACAATACATACAACCACTCGACTTCGTCAATCTGTCGCCCGAACCGAGGCCTGTCGCGTCTTGCGGGGAAAGCTTACTATTCATCTTCCACAAGTAAACTTCATCTCGATAGCCTGAATTTTCAACATTTATCTCACCATCCGCCTACATACAAAAGAGCGGTTACGGGAGGATCTTTGCGACATTGTAATTAGAGACTTGCTCTACCGCCTCAAAGAACAACGCGAAAGAGCTAGGAAAATACGATATCATGACTTCTTCATCGGATTACTCGGATATCAAGTTCGAAATCAAGGGCAAGATCGGTATCATTAAGGTAATATTCAAAGACTCCACCATCCATCCGTGCGGCACATTCCCGAATGCCTCCAGACGATCTTACCCGATCCACCCATGCCTAAACATCACAGTTTGCGTCCGCTAACACATCCTTCAGTTCAACCGGCCCAAGGCCTTGAACTCTTTTGGCGGAAACCTCATCCCCGACATCATCGCCGGATTACGCGTTCTCAATGAGCACCCAGACACCATCTTCACCGTGCTAACAGGCGAGGGACGCTTCTTCTCTGCCGGCGCGGACGTTAAGGGGATTGCCGGAGGAAGTAGTGAAGCCTTCAAGAACGATGCCGAGAAGAAGTTGAGTTACATGACAAGGTTCAGCTATGGTATGTCCACCTCTTGACCTTGCCTACGCCGCGAATTTGCTTTCATGTTGAAATGTCATGCCACTTCCGAATCATAGTACTAAGTCTGACATCTCACAGCCACGGAGCTTCTACGTTCGATGATCGAGTAAGTCTACATACACCCATGTATCCCCACACAGCAACACTAACACTCCACAGCCACCGCAAAGTCCTCATCCTCGCGCTCAACGGCCCCGCCGTCGGCGGCGGCGCAGCCTGGTTCCCAGGTATCGCGGACATCGTGCTCGCTTCCTCAACCGCCTGGCTACAATGCCCCTTCTCCGCCCTCGGTCTCGTCCCCGAAAACGGCTCCGCCCTCTCCTTCGCGCAATCCATCGGCATCCACCGCGCAAACGACTTCCTCATGTTCGGCCGCAAGCTCTCCGCGCAAGAGCTGCTCGATGCCGGCCTGTACAATTACGTGTGGGATGCCGCTGGCGACGAGTTCCATGGCAAGGTTGAGGCGTTCTTGGAGGAACAGCTCAAGGTGAATGATGGCAAGAGTATGATTGAGATGAAGAGGTTGCAGAATGCGCCGATTAGGGATGCGAGGTTGGTGGCTGTGGTTAATGCTGTGGATGCGTTGGCGGAGCGGTTTGTTGAGGGGGCGCCCATGGAGAGGTTTGAGATTAAGAGGAGGGAGATGGAGGAGAAGAGTAAGGCGAGGTCGAAGATCTGATGGGAAGCTTTAGATGGGAAGGCTTCTCGTCCTCCAAGGTTATCTGTATAATATCACGCCATCATCCTCAAGAATATGATGATGCGTGTCGTTTACTCGGGATCTACAACAAGTGATATCCACACGACACGATAAGCTAACTCTTGCACGAACAATAGATCCAATACAATCGCCGTCGTCGACTTCTGATTTCAATTTCCAGTCTAAGAAGCCCTAGCGAGGAACCACAATAATTTCTGTACACAAGCTCCAAATCCTAAGTATAGGAATTGTGCAAGACCTTTATGCATTCGAAAATCAACCGAATAGCCCAAAGCACTGTACATACACTCTCCATCCAGGTCCCCGTACCCACACCCTCAGCCCAACCCCTCAACCCACCCATCCACCTAAGCATACTCCACCGTATTCCTCAGCGTCCCAATCTCCGGACTAAGCGTAACCTCCACGACATCCCCCGGTTTCAAAAACTGCGGCTCCTTCATCGCATACCCCACGCCCGCACACGTCCCCGTCATGAAAACCGTGCCCTTCTTCAGCGTAGTCCCCTGACTACAATAACTCACCAACGTCGGAATCTTGAAGCACAAATCATCGATCCCAGAACTCTGTCTCAGATCCCCATTCACCACCGTCTTGAGATGCAATTTCGACGGATCGGGAATCACGCGTGGGGAGACGAGTTGAGGGCCTAAAGGCGCGTACGTGTCGAAGCCTTTGGAGAAGTTCCATTGGGGGACTGTGCCGGCGAGGAGGGGGTCGCGTTGGAGTTTGCGGGAGGAGACGTCGTTGCCGGAGGTGTAGCCGCCGATGTAGTTGAAGGCGTCGGCTTCGGAGACGTTCTTGGCGTCTTGCGAGATTATGAAGCAGAGTTCGCCTTCGTAGTCGGCTTGGTTGTCTTGGGCGAGTTTGGGGATGACGATGGGGGCGTTGTGGTCGTTTAGGCAGGTGTTGGCTTTGATGAAGGTTGAGGGGTAAGGAGGGAGGGTGCGGCCGCCTTCTTGGACTAGGCGTGGTGAGGTCAATTGGGGGTTTGTTTTTGGAGACAAGATGACAGAGGAACTTACTGTGTTTGATGAAGTTTAGACCTATGCACCGGATAATGGGTACTTCGTCTGTGGTCACGGGGCCAAGTAGCTTCTTAACGGTGACTTCCTCATCGGTGACCTTGGTGGCGGGGTCGAAGATATCGTTGTTCTTGACATCGATTACCTTCGCCTTTAATCCCGTCTCTTCTGTCGTCGTACCGACATCAAATTCTGGCGAGGGGAGGATAGGTTGACCCCGCAGCTCACGCCCATCTGTGGCGACGAAGCGGATAAGTCTGTCCCAGTTTGGTGCCATTGTTTGCAGTAGATATGAGTTGATGATGGAAATTTTACTCTTGCTACAAGCAGTGTTCTATGTATTTGAAGGGCTAGGATCTGAGTCTATGGTGGATATATGTTCTACCGGGCCTGCCTAACGCGATGCCGGAAAGATCAATGGATGTGGGGAGGTTCGGAAATGTCGAGCGGGATGCTAGTGCGGGGCATTCTTTGCGTGAACTTTGTTCAGGAACGCGCGGATTAGGTCTTTTTCGGGGCTTGTTGTGAGACCGTAGTAGATGATGGTTTCCAGTAGTCTCCATGGGCTTAGCTAAGTTTGAGAGTAGATGTTCGTGGTATACAAGCAGATGGCGACACGGAACAACTCTTTAACGGGTTCGTCATGCGCGTACAATACTCGGACAACCAATCCTATGTATACCATGACAGTTTACAACAGGCATGGCTTCGTACGTGAGGGGAATTAAATATATTATACAGCTACTAGCCCTCAAAGACGCCATGTTGAAGATCAACACCAAAGTCCTTAGCCATAACACGCATGTGCGCTTCGATATCATCCTCCATGCCTCCGCCCACACCAACCAATTGCTTGAGCTTACTCCAGAGGAACACCACATCGCTGAGTGTAAGCACGAACCGGAAGCGCAGATGCTGAATCCAGTTCTTCCATCTCTGGCTCACACTGAGATCTTTAGATTCGATCAAAGCCCTACTAGCCCATAGTCCAGTGATCTTGATACGGTTGACAGGTGAACCGAGGAATTGGTTGTTGCCTTGTACGATGCGTAGGTTACGTCCGATGAAGAGGAGTTCACGGGGGAACTTTGCGTCGTCGCCGAGAATGAGCTTGATGGCGTCGCGACCTTTGGCTTGCATTTCAAAGGCTCGCTCAGCTTGATCTTTACCCTTCATTTCGGATTTGAGTACACCTGCTACGCTCTTGTCGCCACCTTCGTACGGACGCATGAGCGTTGCTGATGCGAAGATGTCGGCGTGCTTTACGCCCCAGCTGGTGACAATCTCCTCGATCTTGGCGTTGTCAAAAGCGAGAAGCGACTTCCAGAATTCTGCGTATTGGAGACGGAATTTGGGGTCCATGCGGATGTACAGGCCGTGATCGATGAGGACGACTTCCGGCTGTCCGTTAGGGAGGCGGCGGACGAAGATGTTTCCTGGATGGGGGTCGCAATGTACTGCACCCCAGAGGAACATTTGTGCTGAGAAGAGATCGACGATGGTGTTCATGGTGGTCTTCAGGGAGACGCCGAGGCCGCCTTTCTCGTCGTTGCCTCTCCATGAACTACGGTCAGGTTTGAAGAACTCGTGCTGTGTGGCGTCCTCCGGCGCATGGGTATCGATCTTAGCGTCTCGGGGGATTGGTGGTAGCTGGTTACCACCTGCACCGGGGCTGCCTCTGCGCCATCCACCCTTCCAGCTGTTTGTGATGCCCTCCTTGTCCCATAATCGTACACCTTCGATCCATTCCGCAGTCATGACACGCTTGCTTGAAAGCTCGCGGTACACCGCAGGGATGTAGACCCGACCGTTGAGTCGCGGTTCCCCAGCCACAAGCCCCTTCATCTCTACCGCGTTGTCTGCCTCGTTCTCGAAATCCGTTTCTAGCATTAGGCGCTCGGAGATGTATGGAACCAGCGTGTAAACAGGGATGCCGAACCACCAGGTATACACTTTGGAAACGACCTTAAATGCCCAAAGGTCCCATCCCACCTGCTGGGCAATCTCTCTCTTCTGAATCTTGATGGCCACCTCTCTTCCGTCTGCCAATCTTGCCCAGTGCACTTGCGCAACACTCGCACTGGCCCTTGCAGTCTTCTCCATTATACCCCGACCGTCCTGTCCTTCCCGTGTGAAGCTGACACCGAAGACGTCCTCGACGCTTTTGCCAAAGTCCTCTCGTATGACTTGCTCGACTTCCCACCATTCGTTCTGCGGCGCATCGTCGAACATTTGCTGGAACATCTTCTGGAACTGTGGTGGCAATATCGCGCTCTGCATAGCAATCGCCTGGCCAATCTTCAAGTATAGTCCGCCATTGTATCGCAGCAGGTCGAATATCCTCTGCGCATTCCGCGCATGCAATTCTTCAATGCTGTTCGCAAGGGGAGGATGCGCACGGAAGTTGATCTTGTAGTCTATGCCTATCAAAAGGCCGGTCTTGAACGTGCGCAAACTGCGTGTGATGGACGAAGCATAGAATTGCCGATCAGCTAGCCACCCAGCACCGAGTAGTGCAGAGACGACAGCAAGGCGGCGCACCCATTTCCGGCGGGTAAACGGAGGCTTGACTTTACGCTGTCGTGGTTTCGGTAGGTCTGCGGGGTTCGGAGGGCGTAGAGGCTCCCATTGCTGTGTTTGAAGGCGGCGCGCGAGTGGTGCCTGGTAGAGTCGCGTGGGGGAGAGGGTTGACGTCAGCAATCGTGATGTCGCATGCTGCGCAGGTGCTCTTCGAAGAGCAGACAAGCCATGTATCATGGCTGTCGGAAACAGGGTGAAGACAGCACGGGAAATGTGTAGTATGACATGAGGAGCACGTTGTGAGATTGCATTATCTGTCGCGCATTGTCGGACTTAAAGTCATGACGGCATTTTCAACGCCGCCAATTGCCCGCCTACAACCGTTATTTCGTCCGTGCACCATCTAGAGGTGTCAGCCTCATGCTCCGGTATAACCCGAACTTCTGCTTCTATCGTAGCTCTATCCACTCGTTCTTTGTAATCTTTGCGAGGTTCATTATCTAGCCAAAACTTTTGACTTTGTGAAGCTGCGCGGGATGGGAAAGGATAGGACGTTGTGCGCCAATATTTGCCTTCCCTTATCCTATCTCGAGATGGTGTAGTTCTGCTTCATCTCCCGTAAACAGGAGGCTACCTCGTCCTCGAGTGAGCTATAGAACGTTCTGATCGGAAGCATGAGGAGGCGATTGCTGTGATTGCGTTGACACCACTTCAGCCCTTGCTGATGCAAGTAGAGCTTTGTTGTGATATCGATATATCATGGGAGGAGTGAGAATGCGAGAGAGCACCTTGATATCCTTCGGCGTCTCTCATGATTGTTCGTCCTGCGGCACTTGACTCTTCTCCACAGCCTTGAGATCAACGTCCCACCTCTTCGCCAGGTCCTCAACCACGCCCATCCACTTCTTCACTACAGGATGCTGGTCCGAGACCTCCCTGAATGTAGGGTCATCATCTTCTCCTACAACGCCCCACTTCCATATGCCCTCTTCATCTACCCACTGGCGGCCTAGCAGCTCCTCGATGGCGAGCTCTTTACGCGCAGAATCAAAGACTTGTGACACTTCCTTGTGGACTTGCTCATCATGACCCCTCCAGGCCGCGACAAAGCCTTGTAGAACTCCTAGTATATAGCCGACGCGTAGGCCTAGGTTGGCACCAAGAGAGTAGCCTTCGTCGAATCCTTCTTGCACGTATTGGCCTTTGCTGTTTGCCAGACCCTCTCGGTATGCATCTGTGTCGAGCGCTCGTTGACGCGAGGGGAGATCGGATAGTATCTCGTGAGCGCGTACATGAGGGACGTTCGCTGAGAGGGTGGGTGAAGCGGGCGCTGAACCGTAGATGTCGTCGAGTGCGTTTTCGTGCGGAGGCGTAGGTGGAGCGTGTCCGGCAGCGAGTTGCGTCGGGTCCAAAGTAGGTGACATGTCCTCGAATGCGTTCATGGTGGGCGTATTTCCTCTCCACAAAAGACTGCGCCGAACGTGAATTCAGTCATGTTGCGAAAGGTACTTGGTGGGGTGGAGGGTGAGGATCTGGTGGGACTAGCGCTGTCTTCGGCGGACGCGGAGGATTGAGCCTGTTCGAGTGGGAGCACTAGCTTCCTACCTGTAGGCACCCTCAGCAATGCTCTCGAGCATAAAGTCCGAGTACAGAATGCCCCGCTAGAATCAGTCCGGCAGGAAGGTCGTGGATAACTTCACAAACGCTATCTCCGTCGCCACGGACGAATATTGGGACGCACAGTCAAGCTGGCAAGACTACATTCATCGGTAACAGATACTTTATTAACGACAGCCATCGCGGCTGTTCACGCTTTCTCAGTAGCAGTGTATCTTCCTGTTAAACTTTCTACTTCATTCCAATACTCGTCATCATGGTTGCTCTCGACATTGTTCGCGCTCACAATGCATCGCTAAAAACTCTACCTCCGAATCTAGTCGCGGTATTCGTTGGAGGCACAAGTGGGATAGGCTTCTTCACCGCTCGCGAATTCGTCCGCACGACCATATCCCCACATGTCTATCTGATCGGCCGCAACGCGACAGAAGCCAGCAAGATTATGGATGAGCTCAACTCGATCAACAGCTCATCCCAGGTTAGCTTCATCCAAAAGGACATCTCGCTCTTGAAGAATGTGGACGAGGCATGTAGTGAGATCAAGAGCAAGGAGAAGCAAGTCAATGTGCTGTTCATGACGTGCGGATACCTCACGATGAAAGGAAGAGACGAGACAGCCGAAGGTCTGGACAGGAAGATGGCTGTGCAATATTACGCACGAATGCGATTCATCTCTCAACTCACACCGCTTCTCAACAAGGCCTCTGAGACTAACAACTTGTCTCGCGTGGTCGCTGTTCTGGACCCGCAGGCTGGCTTGAGACTCGGAGGCCTTGACTATTCCGACCTCTCCCTCAGACATAACTTCAGTCTCAAGAACGTCCTGCTCCATGCAAGCTCTATGACGTCTCTCTCCATGGCTCACTTGGCAAATCAGAATTCAAAGACAGCATACATCCACGAATACCCATCTGGCGTCGAGACTGGCGTAACGCGAGAACTCTTCGGTCGCTTCAACGACACTGTCATGTCTACGCTGGGTGGACTATTTCGACGCTTTCTCTTCGTTCCACAAGTGGAAAGCGGCGAAAGACATTTGTTCGCTGCCACGGCACCGCGATACGCCCCCAAAGCGGATAGCGCCAAGACAGACGTTATTGGAAGTGATGGTGTGAAAGGCAGTGGAAGCTATCTGCTGAATTGGAACGGGGACATCCTGGCGGATACCAAGAAAGCGCAGAAGCTGAGGGAGGACGGCGGGCTGGACAAGGTCTGGGGGCATACACAAGAGGTTATGGGCAAGATCGAGGAGAGTGGAAGGTTTTGACTTGAGCGGCAATCTGTTATTAGAGTTTGATCGCTGGGCTTGACGTAGGATGGAGCGGGCCGGGAGAGCAATCCATGGGACCAGGACGACTGAGTCGCGCTACGCGTGTGGGGCATATCGATAGGCGCACGTCTTCAAGGTTGCGTGATGCTGAGGCAATGTTGCTCGACATGCACGAGGCGCAGTTTGTTGGCGTTGGTGAAGTTTCTGCTCTATCTGGAATCAGCCAATATCAGACCTTGTTGTGTTTGTTGGAAAAAGAGAGCACGATGACGCCAGATGTGGGCGCATATAGGGCCTCTGTCTTTCTGCGACGCGACATCGTGGGTGTTCCCAGGAGGGTTGTGTCGGATCGGAATGGCATTCATGCGCTCCTTGCCTACTAGAAACACCTGGCTTCTGCGCCCTCAGCACGGCACTGGGCTCTCGAGATGAGGAAGCTAGCGTGAACCCCTATTCATGTGCATGACGATCACCAGAGCCCGGGTCCCCAGCTGCATGTCGCCGGCGGACGATAACGATTACACAACACGAAGCTATCGCGTGCCGAATAATGACTGGCGCGCGTGCAAATTGGGCGCTGTCGCCGGTGGTTGTCTGGTTAGGCCAGCTGTTTCGCATTGATCTTTCGGGCGTGCCACCCCCGTCGGCGTCACCATCGTCGTTTCCCGCTGTGCATCCAACCTCGAGAAGCCGCGGCCAATGGTACGGCGCCGTCCAGCCTCTCCTTCCCGAGACGCGTCACGCCCGTGTTGACGTCGTTGGTAGTGTTGACGTCTTTGGCAGTGTTGTGGCGGCCTGTTCTCTCTTTGCGCTATTTGCATGCTCTCCCCGTCCTCCTCGCTGTCGCTACTACGCGCATTCCTTTTTGTGCAGAATCCGGGGGTGCCATTGCGCGTATCGTTCCTGCAGTAGTGCCTCGGGCCTTAAGGTTAGTCAGAGGCTCTAACCAGACCCTGGGCCCCCGACCCGCACGCGCCATTTGGATGCGCGTTTGACCAAGTGCTGACCTTGGGATACAGCCGGCTGCTCCTCCTCCAATTTCACTTGCCCTCGCACTAGGACGCCAGACGCTTCCGAATTGCTGTGCCGTGCGCAGGACAGCCCAGCCCAGCAAGACCCAGCAGGACTGCTTACCCACTACGCTGCAGTCCTCGATTGCTAAGATTACACGCGCGCGAAGTGTGAGCCACTGATATTAAGAGCCCTCTGCTGCCCACCATGGCTACCACCACCACTGACGACCGGTCCCTTAATCCACCTAATACCTCGGCCTACAAAGACGGCTCACCTGACCCCTCTGTCCGCCCCTCTGCAGCCCAGTCCCAGTCCCAGTCTTCCGCCGACCAAACAGGACCGCGCCGTTCCAGCTTCAACTTCCTGCGCCGAACCAGCGGAAAAAGCTCCTCTGAAATTCGCGGCAACAGCACCAATCGAAGCGTCTCCGGCGGCAAGATGAGCAGGAAGCAAAAGGCCCTCGCCCAGGAGGAGGCTCTCCGCAGGCAGCGCGAAGCTACCATGCTGCCTAAGCAGCCGCCGCGCCTGCCTTCCCACTCGGCCCTTCCCCAGCTCGCGACGTTCGGAGGTGAGGACACGCGCCCAGACTCCATTGCCATTGTCTCCAACAAGGCCGGCACCTACAACCCCACTGCCCACAACTTCAGCCGCCCCTCGACCGATACCTACAGGATGGCTCCCGCTCAACCCAGCCCCGCTGTGGCGCCGCCCGTGCCAGGCTCCTCGCCTTCGACCTACATGGATTACGATCCCTACCCGAGGACCGAGAGCATGACCAACCGCGGTCGCTACAGCTACGCCAGCAGCCAGATCAGCACTGTCAACAGCCCCCGTCGTGTGCGAAGGAGGAAGGATCCCACGCCTTTCAAGTATGTTCCGCTGCATCGCCATAGTCACTGAGCTAACCAGCACCTAGCATCCTTGTCATTGGCACTAAAGGCTGCGGCAAGTCTTCATTTATCGAGTTTCTCCGCACTGCGCTCGCGCTCCCGGCTCGAAAGCGCCCAAACACTCCCTCGCCGCCTGCTACCGCTGTAGGTGGTGGAGACTCGCCCTTCACCTCCGAATTCCTCGAGACCGAAGTTGATGGCGAGAGAGTCGGCGTCACGCTCTGGGACTCTGAGGGCCTCGAGAAGAACATTGTCGACTTCCAGCTGCCCATCATCACCTCGTTCCTCGAGTCCAAGTTCGAAGACACTTTCAGCGAGGAGCAGAAGGTCGTACGCGCGCCAGGTGTCAAGGATACACACATCCACTGCGTCTTCCTCATTTTGGATCCGATTCGCCTGGACCAGAACATAGCCGAGGCTCGCAAGAAGTCCAACATTGTCAATGCTGGCAGTGCCATCTTCGGTGGTCTAGACGATCGTCTCGATCTCAACATACTTCGCGAGCTGCAGACCAGGACTACCGTCATCCCAGTCATCAGCAAGGCAGACACCATCACCGGCGCGCACATGCGCTATCTGAAGAAGACTGTCTGGGATACCATCAAGCGCGCAAAGTTGGACCCCTTGGAAGCTTTGAACCTGGACCTTGGCGACGATGACGAAGACCCCGACCGACTTGATGAGCGCGACGAGGACGAATACGAGCAGTCGTCTGAGGGCGAAGGCAAATCAGAAGTTCTGAACAAAATCCTCGAGCGATCTTCTTCCGAAGCTGCGCGCTCCATGGCTTCCTCCAGCTCTTCGACCAGGTCGCACTCCCCTCCCACGTCGCCCCCCAGCGCCAGGAAAGGTCACAGCCGTAAGCCGTCCGCCATGTCCGCCTCGATCCACAGCGAGAGTGCAGAGACTCCGTTCTTGCCTCTCAGCATCATCTCGCCAGATCCTTACGACCCCGAGGTTGTTGGTCGCAGATTCCCATGGGGCTTTGCCGATCCTTACAACCCAGAGCACTGTGACTTCGTCAAACTCAGGGAGAGCGTTTTCAGTGATTGGCGCTCTGAGCTCCGCGAGGCTTCCCGTGAGCAATGGTACGAGGGCTGGAGAACCACTCGACTGGAAAAGGGCAGGCGACAGGTCGTTACATCGGATGGACCCGCCTCCAGGCAGCTCTCTGTTCCTGCGACCAATGGACGGGCAGCCAGCGCTGGCAGCCGCGAGTATCGCCCGTATCGCCCTAGCAACGATTTCTAGATATCTCGACCCTCAGACCCCAGGCATCTTGCCATACCTGCGGCATCATCGAGTTGGATCCACGACAAGCAACATCGCTGCACAACGCGATCATTCAATCTCTACCCCACGAAGCATCTTCTGAACCTTCGTCATCCATCACAACTCACACCGTACATGTTCACACTTGGAGGTCTCATACGCCTTTTCCTATATCAGTCTGCATCTGGAAGCTTGTGTTTTCATCTGATTTTAAAATTGCGCATACCCTTTTTCTTATTGTTTAGTATATTCTAGATTCATGCCGTTCCGACAAAGTTCATTCCGTTTCAGAAAGGATCCGGGTGGTCGATACGTTATTCACGCTGAGCGTAGCCTTTGATAGTTTTTGGAGCAATGCGGGAACAGCTTCAACGTGTATTTAGCAAGCGATCGAGGGATCGCTGGAGGGATTGTAGCATGCTGATTGTACGTCTTCGAAAGTAGTAAAAAAATTGTATTTTACGAATCATCCGTTGCTCTTGCTTGCTGACTGTAATCATCCGAGCGAGAATTGCTCGATCCACGCTCGCAAGAAGCAATTACGCTGAGGAAACAACTAGGATCAAGGTACAAATTGTCATAATCAGTACGAAGCTCGAGACCAAAGTCAGGAACATTCGTTGTGTCTTAGCCCGAGATACCAGTTGGCGGGCCGGACACGTTGTCTCATTGACCAATCGCCTGCTCGTACCTCGCATCGTGCATGTCTCGCGCGCCGCGACTATCAGTCTACTCTCAACGTTCGTCATTAACGACGAGACCTTCTGCATCTGCAATGGCTCCCGGTATCGCGCCTTGAGCGATTTATAAATACAAGGCATGCACCATGCTGTCTTTTCTGCTCTGGCAGCATTCGCCCTCGTCTGCACCGCGTTCACGCTCTTCTTTCGACTGTCCCAGGATATCGATATGACTTCCTCACGCAGCTATGCATCGCTACTCTTTGCTTCCATAGCTACCACAGCGGTGGCTCAGAATGTATCAAAGATAGATTTGGGCTGGTATGCACCAAAGAAGAGCTGGGTTAATGATCTTGATCAAATATTAAACGGGACGGGCACCAATGGGTTCGTGTTCAACAGCTCACAGCTGCCCGCTGGTGTGGAGTATGGGACGTACAACTGGTGCAATATGCCTCATGTACGGAAGAATGAGTATGTCAAGGTAGATGACGACTTTGAGCTGGCGTACGTGGAGGTGTAAGTTGTCCTACAATCCCAGTCAATCGAGAGCGTCAACTTACATTCTGCATAGTATTCATCGCCATCACAAGCGCACACCATATGCCTCGAATACCTTCCCCAAAGAGTCATACCCCTGGGATTGCTCTGACCAAGGTCTCTTCTACTACGGCGAGCCTCTCAATCCCGCTGGTAACACGTCGGCGTCAACATACTGGAGCGTCTATACCAATCCCGTCAATCCCTTCGCCCAAAGTGGTTTCAACGGGTCGTGCCAATTCCCTCAAATCACCCGCGAGGGGCTTGACGACTCTCTACAACATGGCAAAGACCTCTTCGGCGTATACCACGACCTGCTCGGTTTCCTCCCCGACAACATCAACGAAAAGACAACCTGGCGCGTCTCCAACAACGTCATCACCAGCCAAGTCGCCGGCATGCTAATTGAAGGCATGTACAGCCCCAAAGAAAACGTGCCCCTACACATCCAGCCCTCCACCATCGACTCCCTCGCCCCATCCTACTCCTGCCCGGCTGCCTCCTCCCTCTACAGTTCCTACGGCGTCGGCAGCACAGCCGCAAACTGGACGCGTCATCTCACCGCCACAGCACCTCTCTTCGCCTCTCTCGACGCTATAAG